CTACATGATTCTTGTGACATTTTTATTATTATTCTTTTTACTTAGCCAATTAGTGAATTTTCCAGGTGCTTGGAAGAAGCAACATGTTACATATCACCCATGTCTCAATTTCTACAGCTCATCCTGCACCATACAAACCACTTCAATCACTGTGACAGAAAGCCAATGTCAGCAACTCTAAGCAGAACAACTGAAATGAAAAACTCAGAAAATTACCAGCATTGCACACAGGGGAAAACTTATGTCTTTCACTTATTTTTTCCCCATATCAAAGGCACCTTTGTCACCAGCCTGTATCTGCAAAATGACACTTTCCCATATGGAAAACCCAAGGACTTTAATAGAACCAAAAAAAAAATATCTTTCAGTAAGGAAACCTTCTGTTTCCTTCCATTTTAGCTGTTACTCCTGTGAGACAGTATCCAGTGACACTTAGAATACCCTGTGGCAACAAATGCATTGAAAGAGAAGATGGGCTAATAGCTAAATAAGCCAACAGTTCCTACTTGGACCTGACAATGTAACCTCTGACTCCACAAGGAATTTCATCCACACTCTTTGCCCTAAGAGTGTAAGCTCAGACACCACACTGGAGCTGACAGCATGCCTGGCTGGGCTACACCTGTTTCACAGGGACAACAGGCAAGTATTCCAAGACTTTGAACAAATGCCACTTGTGAACATTCATCCCAGAGAAAATCCATGACTGAAAATCTAATCTGAAAGTCTTTCTGTTAGGCAACGGACCCTAGATGTGATTTCCTGTAGAAAGCTGAAAAACAACTTTTAATTTTAGTTTACTTGACATTGCTGTACAGCCATCCACTCGTCTTGCTCTGTTGGCAATATTCTATACAGTTATTCCTCTCCTTAGCACTTCAGAAATTGCCAGAGGATTTAATCCTTGGCTTGTCCATAGTGCTCACTGAGGGCAGCAGGGATTCCTCCTGGGAATACTTGCTATGGCCAGTGGCAGCTGCCTGGGGAAGCAGCAGGCAAGAAAATGAACCATAACTGCATTTCCTCCAAATTTCTGGGCATAGGCCCCCTTTGCTCTCAAAAAGTTCCCTCTTTTCAAGGATCTGATCAAATTGAGGACGTTTCAATAAGATCCTAACAAAATCAGGACAAACAGTTTGTGCATTTCTGCATCTCTCAGAGGAAGGCTCTGTATTTTTAGGTCATGATCCTTGGAACATTAACAGCATGAAATCTCCAAGCATCTGAATGCTTTGAGCCAAAAAAACCCCAGAGCTAAGACCAAGAGGAATGCCACAAAGCAGCATCCATTTTAAGCTGATGCTTTATTTCCAGTCCTAGAAGCCACAGACAAAAAAGCCAAAAAAAAAATAAAGGTAGACAAAATCCCTTCCCCAAATAAAAGCACACTGTGCATTCCCCTCTTTGCCTTCCCAAAATGGGAGCTTTAGTGCAGTGCTTGTTGTATAAGTGAGCATTTCTTCGAAGTACAAAGCAGAAATAATGACTCTGCCTGTTGCTCACTTTTGCATACAAGCAGATTAAGTGACTCACTGCAGACAGCTGACTTCTGCATGGTGGGATGTTTTGGCACATATGCCATTGGAAAGAAGAAAAGAAAAGAAAAAAAAAAAGAAAACAGTCACAGCACCAGTAAATGTTGGAGCAGACCATCTGCACAGATTCACTATAGCTGTATTCTTCAGCCATTTTGTGGCATTTTTATTGTATGTGCATATTCCCAGTTGAGAATGCTTGATGTGGATTTTGACAAAGCTTTATGGCTGGTTCAGTCCTGCTCCCATTGAAGAAAAATCCCCAATCATTTCAGTGGGAGCAAAATTTAGACAATTTGGAAACTGGGGAAAAACCCTTTCTCATTTAAGAAATGGTTCAAATTTTCTTTCATGCATGTGAATGTGAAACAGCTTTCATGTTACATGGTTCTTCAGGTGTTTTTATGTGAAAGAACTGGCTGAAGTGTGGACTGGACATGACCAGCACAACAGAAGTAGTCACTGGGCACTGCCCTTCTGATTTTCCAGAGCAGGAAAACATCCTGACAAATCTGGATGTGTGGTTAGGTAGTAAATCAAGCCTGCCATAGGTATAAGCTAATGATATTTGATAGAGAGTCAATCCAGCACCATTTACTCAAAAATAAAACTTATTAAACATATAGTTACAATTGGGGGTGGGGTGCAGAGAAACACCCCAAACCAACAAGCAAAAACATTTCTCCCTTTTTATTCACCCAGCATCTTTGGGAAGGTTTAGAGTGTAGCACTCCAAAATATTTTTTAAATTTTAAATGTTTAGTAGACACTGTGGACTTCAAAAATTAACTAGTTATCTGTGTTGAGTAAAAATGAGTAGATAGTTTATGATCCTGGACACACTCTTTCAAATAAACCAGCACATCATTTCCAGGAGTGCTTACTTAAACATATCCCTACTGATTTTTATCTGTTATTTGGAAACATCCACAGGCCACAAACACTTGTAGACACTATCTGTACTGAACAAATCTTCTAATTACCTGGCAGAGACACACCCAAGGAAAAGCCACACAGCAGAAACAACTCCACACAACACAGTAATGCAGAGCAGTGCAAAGGTCTCCCACATCCCCATACAGTCATCACACCCATAAAACAATACTGACCCTTCATGGCTCATGCTCATTGCACAAAAATGCTATTTTTGCTTAATTCTAATGGTGTAAAAAAAACATAACCACACCAAACCAAGCTCTATTATTTTGCATAATATGTATCTATTATATATATATATATACATATATATATATATATATATTATATTTGCAAAATGCCAGTTTCATTTCCTGCAGTAGCCTAGCACACAGATCTGCTTGTGCTACACTTTTGGAGGCCAGGGTTCTCTAAGAGTCTTTACTCTTTACTTCACCAGACAACAGCACAATGGGGCTCAATAGATTGGCAGTACATCACAAATTAAATTGAGGATTGAGCTTAATAAATGTTTGACTCAACTGGAACAAACCTTACTAAGCTAGTAAAGCTTGCCTGTATGCACTTTAGGTCAGATCATTTCAAATCCACAACTCACATCCTAGTTTAACACATCCTAAGAATATAAAACATTTAAAATTGACCTATTGCCATCAAATATTTACTTTTTAGCAATCCTTCTTTTCCAGAAGAAAAATGGCTTGTTGGAAAGTTTTTCAGCTACCTCTTGAGAGCTGACTGTATCTTGCTCTTCAGGGAGTTGGAATGACTGCCACAGAAACTGTCAGCTTGCCCAGCTAATGTGTGTGAATTCAACATTCACTGGAAATAGGAGCAGGTATCAGTAGCTCTGTCTGGATTTAGTTTGGGGCTGTGGTGATGCTCACTACAGAAGGAGCAGTGCTGCTATCTGATATTCCTGCCCTGGGGCTGCTTGTTGCAACCCCAGAGCACAGTGGTGGAAAAGTTCATGTGATTGTTTGCCATCTGCTCAGTGCAAAGTCAGCTGGCTTCATTTAAAGAGCCCTTATTGTCAGCCAGAGGCAAATGCTCCCTGGCTGTCTCTGCAGGGCTGTGCCAAAGCTGCTCATGTCAGGCTTGTAACCAGCCTGCAGTTACGTTTTTGACCTTCCCTTGAGCCAAGGCTGACAAAGATAAAAACTAAACTCTCCTGGATGAGCCTATCCAAAAGCAGAATGCAGTTCTGAGCTACCTGGCTTGAGGCAGAATTCTAGCCCACCATTCCCAAACAACACAGGGCCTGCAGAATTTTTAAACATCCAGACACCTGAAGAGGTAAATACCATAGTGAGAAATCCAATGAGCTGCTACTACAGCTTCAATTGCTAGATCACTGTAGTTGAGGAGGTTTTCTTCTCAACAGATGTTGCTTAATTACCAGTGTGTTATCATGCTGTAAAGCAATTCATTCATGCTTATTTAAGAAGCTCTGTCAAATACATACCATAAAACAAAATTAAAGGCAGCTGAAGTCAGAACCAGTTTGGTATTAGCACAAGTCTAATTTTGCTAAGTGGCTGTTGCACATCTAATTACAAAAATCAATAGAAAAACTGGCATGCACTATAAAAGAACAGCTGCTCAATCCTGCACTCTGTAATGTGATTATTTGTGAAGCATTCAAAAGGCATAGATCTAATCCAGGGTCACCTGGCTAAAACAGCCGTATTAGATCTTAAAACCTATCAGTCAGTGGAACGACCATTGTTGCAGAAAAGGAAACCAACTTCACATTGCAAACTGTGCCTGGTGAGGATCCTTTTGTCTTGTGGAATTACTGGCATATAATTCCTTAATTTTGTGTTGCTTCTATACTGTATATTTGCACCAGTATTTCTGCCACGGTATAAAAGTAGTTTTACCCTACCACACTGTCACTTCTCTACCACCTCTGTGTCACAGGTTGTCAGTACAAAAAAATAGCCAAGTGGGTCATGAGTTTCTCCCTCCATGAGCCTCAGCAATGGAGCTGGGTATGAAATTGGTTTTCATGTCCTCTAACTTTTTTTTAATCACATCAGGACATTTTTACTCAAAACCTGTGACAGAACTATAATCTTCATAAAAGAATAATTCCAGATGTTTCATTCAGACATTTCTGGTATCTTATATTTTAATTTACAGACACTAAAATTACAGTGAAATTAGAACAGCCAAAAAACTAAGCTTAGAAAATGTAACCTTTGATCATATGCCCTTTTCCCCCCATTTTCTCCTGGGAAAACTTGTCAAATTCACTTACCTCACAAAAACTCAAGTTTTTGAAAAACTTTCTTGCTAGGAGAAATACATTTCGTGTACAAACTCTACCCAGTTCTACTTATCATGTAAACCAGGAATCAAGACTGAAAACAATCAGCCTGAAAACTAAACCAGATGAGAACCCACTAACAGGTAATTCTCTGACTTCAGACTTTTCACCAGTAACAGTAAAGCAAGAATATATAAATTCCTGAGCTTGTTACAGCTCTGCCATTGTTTAAGAACTTCCTGCACTTGGCAACTTACCTTTGTTGGATTTTGGTAGTTCACATGAGCCGCTTCCAATCTTTCGCTTTTTCCTCGAGACAGCTGAATTTTTCCTGTCAAAGGTAATAGGACTGTATTGAGGGAGGCTGTTGAATTTCTTTGCAAATTCTTCTTCCAATTTTGCTATGCTAAATGGGAAACAAAACCATTCAAATTAAACGTAACTCTTTCTGGAGAAAAAAATATATTGTTTAAGATTATGTGTGTAAACACATACACCCTTCTACACAGAGAGGGGAAAATCAGGTAAGTACACACACTGTAAATATCAAACCAGTATATACTAATCCAACTTTGGAATGAGAATGCACATTTCTGCTTCTGCATTTGTAACAGTGCAAATTGATTACTGTAGTAGCATATGTTAAAACTAGGAAAAAAACAATCAATGTCATACTGGTGACATTTAGCTCCCTTTGCTGCACAGATTTGTACAAGAGATTTGTGTGTTCTGTGAGGGGAATGAACAAAGACAGTAAAAACAATAAATAAACCAATAAAATAACTTCACATAGAAGTTCTTACACCAGAATGAAAACAGCATTTCAAACCAGAAGAAGAATGTCAAACTAATCAATCCTCTGTGGCTATTCTGAAACATGAAGCTTTGGGGTGGGAATTAGTTTTGCATTTGTTCTGGGTGATTAGATTTTCTCCTCTTGTATTTCATTTGCTGTGAAATGAAAAATGTAACTAGTTTATGCTTTCATGAAAGCAAACATGCCTCATACTGCAGCTTAACCTGAATGACTGTCAGTGGATTAACTACAACTCAAGAAATCCACAGACAAGGTATGATTGTTCCTAATAAGAAGAAAACAAAGCACTCAAAAGAGGATAGCACAGCATTTCCAGCTGTAATGACTACACTGGCTTGCATAAGCACTCTGCTCCTGCAAATTTTTGCATCCAGGCAGAAGTAGAAATTGCGTTTTAGTTAAAGGCAAGCACACAGTTAGGCAGGTTATAAATAGCACTGTCAATGATAGCGGAACAATGACATATTTCACTTGTTTTTAATTCTCCTTTCTATGAAAAACCTCGACTTGACAGAAGTTGGCATGACTGTTGGAAGGATGGCCCTTATACACTTGGAAGTATCACAAGAAACACGGTACTTCTCTATACTTTCTGAAGCAGCACTTCAAACAAATTGCATTTTGAAAGCATTGTTACACAGAAGGATACATAATTTTTTTCTCCTTAATTATTACTTGTCTCAGGAAGCAATTTACTACCTTAAAATACAGCCTTGGCTCTTTGCAGACCAGGTGCACGCTGAGATTTGTTGGTTTGCGCACACATTTTATTTTGGTTTTCAATCACAAAGGTCTCTGACATCAGTAGTGCCTGGTACTGCTCCCTTTTTCTCTTCCACACAGATGCTCCCTGACAATCACAAAACCATTTTCTGCTCTGACTCAGCTCCTCTCCCACCTGCCTCACCTCCTGCCCGGAGGGCATGCGAGGGGCTGCAGCTCTAATTGGGAAGGCCAAACCTCATTTGACAGCAGGTGAGATGAGCTGCCTTCCTGGCTAGGAATTTATAACTTGTGTGCTGCTATCTCTGTGTCAGTGATTAATTATTTAAATAAATAAAAAATCATTCACACTGTTGTGAATTTTAAGAGCCTGGTGTAGCTGAGCTGAGGTGTTCATGGTGCACAGCCTAGTCCTGCCAGGAGATACGTGCAGGTAGAGCCCTGCTTAGCAAAGGAGTGGGCATGGGGAAAGCACATCTGACCTGGAATATCAGGGAAATGCTGATGGGGAAGGTAAGAGCACACAGGGAAAATGATGAAAACGATGCCATTCTGTAGGAGTGAACACCCTTCCACCAACACATGTACAAAATGAGGCTGAAATGTGATGCTGAAGGGAGCAGAGGGAGTTAAGTAGAGATAAAACCAGCTCTTCAAGTAGCCAGAAGATCAGGTCATGAAATGGAATATGGGATACCTTCTCCAGCACTTATGCTTCACACATTTGTAATTCTGCCTTTACGGAGTTCACTAAATAATATTCTTTAGTGAGGCAACTGAAGAAAGATGAAAGATTGGAAAATATGTGTTTTCTCATTCAGCCAGCTCAATGAGGGTAGCATTGAATGAATGATTTAGGCAATTTTCCTAGGTACCCGTTGAATAAATAATTTACAACAACTTTCTTTTATGCTGTAAGATGTGATCAGTTTTCCCACCAGTATGTGGGAAAATTTTTCAATCTTTCAACTTAAAGTATTTCCAAAACTTATACAAAGCTCTAAAAATACAGTGCTCCACTTTTTCTTAACTATTTTTTCTTAACTATTCCAATAAACAATATTTGGGGATTCCCACTGATTTAATATGTTTGCTGAGAGTGAGCTGCAATTAGATGTCACATAAACTAGGTTGTGAAAAGGGTACTGCAAACCTGCAAAACCAAACATATTATAATTTTAAGCATGAAATATGGAAAAACTCCCCCTTTTAAATACATTTTCCCATCTGCAAGAATTTGCAAGTATGAATGACTACCCAGATTTAACTACTGTGCCTACAGCTAAATAAACCTGTAATATTCTGACAAAAATTACTACTTGTATATTAGAAAAGTAATTCCGTGGATTCTTGCTATATTTTAATGTATCTATGCTCATTAATTATTTTTAAGATATATTTAATTTCATAATGGTGGACATAAACAGTTTAAATATCTTTTCTCTACAATAGAAAAATGACATATTTATCATCATTATTTGCCAATATATGAACATTGTTTACTATTCCTCTGTAAGCAATCTCTCTAAGTGGAGAAAGAGATCTATTCTTTCTAGTCTAATCTGGTTTATGATGATTGAACACCTACACAGAACTTTAAATAGTGCTTGCAAAGTACTCTGAGAACCTAAGTAACCCTCTTCACTACTTTTTGAGCAGGTAAATACTGTGTGGTTTATTTAGCACTGAGCAAATAACACCATTCAAATTCACTTACAGTGGTGTAAACCAGGAAAGATCTCAAAGAAATTACTTTGCTATATAAATGATGGGTATTTAGAGCATGACTCAGTCCCACAGAGTTTTTCATTTTTGGAATTGGGATTATTTGTGTGTTAGATGCAGATAATTTAGCTGCAGTGAGAAGGACTCAAATTATTAGGCTGAGCTAACTAAAACATCAAACAATGTTAAGCCACAACTTACCCAAAAACAAACTCTTCCTTTGGCTTAGTCTTTTTCAGTTTTTTGTTCCCACTTGTCCCACTTGGGGAAAAGGCCCAGATTTCTTCATTCCAGCATCCTTCATGATCTGAGGAGTTACCTTTTCCTGAGCTTCTTTTTCCTGTGATGAAGGCAGAAAATTGTTTCTCATCTTTAGAAAAATGTTCCAAAACAAAGTAGTCTCCGAAGAAACTTGTGTACCCAGTCACAATGGCAATTTATGAAGCCTGACCTTTAAGGCAGTTACAAAACATTTTTCATTTTAAACTGGGCAATGATGATATTGACAACTATTCTGTATGCCCTGTCCTGTCTTTTCCTGGACTATCTTAAAAGGTGGGATCTCTTAAGGTATAAAGAAGAAAAAGATTTAGAGCTGTACAGTAATAAGCTTCCCTAAATTACAAACATATTTTTTCTTTCCTAATTGTTCTAATTACACATATAAATCTACCAGTTGGAAAAAATACACTTCCAGACATTTCACTGAAAGCTTCCAGATATTATCTCAAATTTGTCCTTCCACAAGGTAAAGGGTTCTCACTTACTGCCTACAGCAAAACTAACCAAAGCAAAACCAGAATACATTTGCTTTTTGCAGGATTGAGAACTGTGCTCACAACCACAAGAGTTGTTTATATAGAAACAAGGTAATTGTTTGGGGTTACGTACATCACAAGTCCCACACACATCTATCAACAGGCTGACAAATTAAACAACAAAGCCTTTGGTCAAGAAGTTAAAACTCAGATCAAGAAAGATGAAAATAGACCAGTCTTGAGGTAAGCAGGAACACAGATTGCAAGACTTCAAAAGACTTGCCCTGGAACATGGAGTCCAGTCACTCTACCTGTCCCTAGCATCTCAGACACAACATTCCCACTGCACACTGCTCAAACTCCAGCTTCAACATGGATTTTTGCTTTTCCTCCCACTCCAGGCAAGCCTTTGCAGTTCATGCTGTAAACAAAACACTCAAAGCCACCCACCTCTGTCCACATTAGCGCGCAGAGATGTGAGCATGCCCTCTGACACCAGAGTTTTATAAAGAGCACCTTTGCAAGATCTCTCCGATTTCCTGGAGCCACAGGTTTCTATCTTTTTAACACAGTCACTGTCCTCAGTTTTGACCTGTTCTGGTAAGCTTTGGGGTACCACCTCCTCTGTTGGGGTCAGTGGTTCCACTTTCATGTTATCAGAAGCCTCACACGGCACTTCCTTGCCCGCTTCAATACTAAGGAAATCGGGAGGCTTGGATTCTTTGGTGGTCTCCATTGGTTTCTCCTTTGACGTTTTCTTTTCTTTCGATTTCACTTTTTTCTTTGGTGATTTTGTATCCAACGTGCTTCCCTTCACGTTTGAGACGGGGCGGGTTTTTTTGCGGGGCGTATCCCCGAGTCTCTCAGCACCCCAGTCCCCCTTGGCCACGGCTTCAATTGTGTACATCACACTTTCAATGTCCGACTCGGAGGACTGCCTCTTTTTACAAGATTTTTTAGGGGTGGATTTTTCATTTGTGTGCCGGTCCAGCTTATTTTTTTTCTTTTTCTTCTTTATCTTTTCTGGCTTTAGGCCAAGGATAGTCATATCACTCATGAAAAGCTCTGGAGAACGGCACACGTGATCCTTTGTGTTATCCTTTCTCTCAAAAGGACTGTTTTCCATTGCAAGACTGGTAAAGTCTCTGCATTTTGCAGTTTCTGATTCCTCAGCTTTTGTTTCATCTGGATTTTGCATTTTTTCTATTTCTGATTGTTCTACTTTTCCATTACTGGAGTCTTTTGCTGTTGTTTTCTCCAGTTCTACTTCCATGTCCTCTGACACTTCCCCTTCCTCATCTTCCAGTGCTTCCACTTTTGTTTTCCCAGGTTCTTTCACTTTTACTCCTTCTGAAGCAAGGCACATCTAAAATAAGTTTAAAAACAGTCCCATGAAACAGACATCAAGTGCTAACATTACTTACATATACTAACAGAAGCATTTACCAGGGAATCTTTCTGGCATTTTAGTTTAGGAAAGCAAACTTGCTCCAGAAGCAGGCTGAAGACATGCTGAAACTGATGCAGTGGGATGAGGACTAAGTGCTAGAATAAGGCTGGTAAGGTTCATTGCTCTAAGAGAAAAAGACTCCAACTGATCTCAGTGGTGTTTCCTTTAAGGCTCTTTATATCATCTGGAAACCCACTGCTAGATAGATTTTCAGAATATCTGAAATGCAACAGAACAGATTATCTCTGACTATGCCACAGACAGTCTACTTGGAATCTCACATCCATTCCCACCTTAACTTTCACATGTCCCAAATACAATTCCTTTCTGTTTTCCAAATGGCCTTGAAGGAGGGAGGGAAAAAATGTTTACTTAATCTCCCTAACTGAGATTATTTTATTTTACTTGAATGCAAGAAATAATTTGAAAGGTAGTAAAAAAGGCCTCCCAAATCTTTCTTCTCATGTCACAGATTTATTTTGCAAAGAACTGCAAAGCAGCAATGGTTGCCATGGTTATCTCCTCCTGGAGATAACACTAATGGAAACCAAAATCCTTATACTATCTGGGGAACATCGATATTCAGAAAAAGAGCTGTCAGAAGGTCCTCAACATGTCATGTTCCTGCAGCACTGACTTAGGGAATCCTCTCTGTTTTGGATCACCTGTAAGCTACGTGGACACATCTACAGAAGGTAGTCCTTCCCTTGGGAAGACATGCTTTGTTCTTACTGTTCTCTCTCAAAGCCCCCAAGCTGAATTCCCAGTGCAGTTTGTTTTTAGAACAAATGTCAACCAGTCACCTGGAGCAAAACCAGATGGAAGAGGCTTGCATAGAACCAGGCATCAGAAGGTTCCTGCAGCTCAGCCATGTGGTCAGTATGGCTGGACCTCCTCAAGACACCTGGGCTCTCTTTAGGTGATTTTAGATTTCTCAAATTGGCAACTTTTTTTTCCTTGCAAACTAAAAAACTCTCTCATACCGATTTATGTAAGAACATAACACCAACAATTGGGATGTTTTTGTAGCAGATTTCCAAAATTCTTGCTGCACAAGGTAGAAATGACTGATCTGGTTCAGGACAAGCCAGGCTGAGCACTGTAAAGCACCACAGCTTGGGCAACACACAGGATCTATTGGGAAGCAGGTTAGACTAGGCAAAGGAGAACTCCACAACTGTGCTGACCTGGGTTCCTGGTACAAAGGTACTTCTGTGACTTTTTTACTACACTGCAATGTCAAGCACAGCCTGTGATTTTCAGAAGCTAAAGCTCAATATTTAAGATGGAGCTCACTGGACTGAGAATATTTTGTCAATTCAACATACACCCCATAGCCCCATAGCCAATGAATTTTTTCCTTTTATACATTTGCTTCTTCTGCAATAACCAGCAGTACAGAGCTATAAATGTGGCTACAAAAAAAATGGCATCTGTCTTATCAGAAAATAAACTTGTAATTAAACAATCTTCAAGACTGGGAAAGTTTAAAAAAAGTGTTTAGAAACAAAAAAGGCAAAATTTCAATATAGTGCCATTGGTTTAAACTGCTCCCAGAAGGAAGATCTGCTGAGAGTATCATAGCAGAACTTCTAGAGAAGTTACTGACCTGTTAGTTCACCTGAAAAATAAAATAGGCATGAAAAGCAAAAACAAATGAAAGCAGCTGTTTCATGTTTAATGACCATTAACATGAATTTGTAGTGGCAATGCTCAAATTTGATAACACAGTCATCCTGTCCTCTCTCTCAACTATTTGTGTCCCTCAGCTAAACCCTAAAACCTCAAAGCCTAAACTAAGAAACTGAATCAAGTTCAACTGCAACCAAGTCCCTTTGCCACTTTGCAGCTGCATCATACTCTTAGAAACCTCTATTTTGACTTGTGGCATCTGAGCCATAGTAATTTATGGCTCTGTAAGCAGCAGAGCAATAACTGTATCACTGTTCTGCCTTGCAGACTTTGGCAATCAATAACTTTATTTCTCCACCCCACTGCACCTGGGGCAATTAGTCACCAGTGGTTTAGTATTACCTCTGCCAGCTGAAATAATGCTGATGTTCCACACTGTTTCGTCAAATCAGAAGGCCCTGAATGGGATGTACTTGAAGAAATCTATGGAGAAAAAGATCAACACAAATAAAACATTCTTTGATCACTACCAGTTCTTTTACGTTTATGACACAGCTTTTCAACAGATTGTTTCCCCCTTCCCAAAATTCATTTGTAAGATTATATACTAAAAGGAAGTGTAGACCTGTGCATGCTGGTATGAATAAAAGCCCACTCCAACACTGCTCTGGTGGATAATGCCACTGTATGCTAAATAATACTTGCAGATTTGGGGTTTTTCTTGTCAGGACTCCCTTTGAGGAACAGGATGAACTGAAACACATGTTCTCTCACACAGGAACAGACTCCAGCTTTAAGCAACAATCTACACCAGCATGCAATCCAGCTGGTGGTGTTTTTAAAGGCTTAGCAAGACACTGGATTCCAAAATTTTTAATTCTTTCATTTCATTATCATAGGTTAAAGAGGCTATTTCTTTCAGGTTATGGTATTGCCTTTTAGTGTCCTATAGGACTCATATAAAAGAGATGCTCTGAACCCAAAGTTAAACAGAAGCCCTCAAGCCTTTGGTAATCTTTAGTACTCCTCAGAATAAAAGGAGGTTGTCATGCAAGCATGTAGCTGATTATCCTCCAGAATCTTTTTCCTGTATCATGGAATGATCTTCAATACTTTAGAGTGTTCGGTACCGGTTTTGAGCTAGGTGCAAGGAAATGATCTTCTAAACAAATTTAAAGTATCAGTATCAGGACTGGCAATTAGTATGAAAAAAAAGTTATTTTTTTAACAACATATCCATCATTATCTCTGACCAGGCTTGTGGGTTTCTTATCTTTAGGCTGTGTAAGAAAGTGAAATTGTAAGGGACTGAGGAACCAAAGTATTTACACTCTTTTGTCTCTCCCTGTCCCCACAAACTCACTTTTCATTGTTCTCAGTCAACATATAGTCAGTCGCAGAATTTGGCCTGTCACTGCCATATAGGAAATAAAAACCAACACTGTCTCTACATCTCCTGGAAGGTGCAGCTCTTCACAGCACTTCCCAAGCTCTAACCATCACATGCTGCTGACAGCCAGGTGCTGCTGGTGGTGTGACGTGGCCCCTCGTGCCTCTGCACTGAAGGCTGAAGACAGAGCAAGGGACTCTGCAGAGCTGAACAGCAACAGCCTCCCAGGCTTCACAATGCAGAGTGGCTCCAACCATTTTTAGAAACTTAGAGATGCTCAGAAGATTTTAGAAAGTAATTAAACCCCCTTCTCCATTTTATTTTAATCACCATGTGTGAAATATTGTGAAGTATCAAAAAGGAAGGGATAGGGAAGAGGGGGAAAAAAGAAGATAAAATTGTTTAATCTACATAGCAAAGAGATGAAGGAGCACCAGAGCAGTGTGGTATGCTGAAGAAGACAGGCTCCTATACACCAGACACTTGCCATGCCAACAGCATGGAAACAGGAGTCCAGTCCCTCCAGTGCACAGCATCTGCAGTTTGGAGTTACAGCAGCACAGCACAGCTGTCTGCCAAATCCACTTGCAAACTGAGACACCCTCGAGGTGAGTATGAACATGGCTCATTTGGGATGCCCCACACCAGGGAGTGAACTGCTATCTGAAAACTTAAGCTGAATCTCTCACATATAATTTATTTAACTATGATCCAACATTAGAGATCTCCAAAACTGGAGAAAAAAAAGAAGAAAAAAATCAATAGCGCTGATGTCCTAGAAGAGCTAGAGACAGGGAGGATGTGCCTAGCACATCTGCTGTGTTTGTCCCCATCTGAATCAGAGCCTTTAACGTCCATTTTGTGTATTAAATTAGGCTTGCAGGAATCCATCTGAGCAATCACTGAGAGCTCACAGAAACCTGTCGAGCACACAACGTCACGCTGCCAGACTTAGCTTCACTTTTTCTGCCACCTGCAGTACAAACTGTGCACTCCTGTGGACAAGCATCTGTCCTTCTACTAAATTAGGGCTTCACAAGCTTCACATCACAACTTCTAATGGTGACTTCTGAAAATCAGGCTGCACATGGCAATAAGCCTTACTTCAGAACAGCACCACTCAGCCTTCTGCTGTCCTGTTAGAGGCCATGGTAGAAACTTCTGGTGTCCCTAAATAAATACTGCCAGCCCTCCTGCTGTCCCAGAGCTGCAACAGCCAAATCCCCTTATGGATGACTGATCACAGTTAGGTGTAATCACCCTTGCCCAGGCACTGCTGGCAGCAGAGCACATAGCCACAAACTCTGCTACTGCCTGTACAGTAAGGCAGATTTTCTTCCACTCATATAAGCTCCTATAAAGCCACAGTCTTGCAAGACTATCCATAGAGCAAGACAGGAAATACTTTCATTTCAGTGCTTACAACCTCTGCCTTTTTCCTGAGAGGGACTGATCTCACCAGCAGGAATATAAGGCTAGCTGCAACTGGACAGGATCCAGAGAACCATTTTCCTTACTGAAATAGGATGTGAATTTGAAATAATAAATTAAAAACAGCACAACAAAAACCAACAAAAAAAGGGTACAAGTAATGTGCTAGCATACTCCTTTACTTGTCTTGGAATACAGCAAGTATCTTCATCTTTCAATCATCACAAAGAATAGCATCTGGACATCAAACCTCAGAGATTTTTACGTGAATCATCCATGTCAAAGCAAAGACCTCTACAAGGTTATATTTAAGACTCACAGAGAATTTCTAGGACTTTGAGGAAACCTGACCCAGAATTCTTGATTACTGCTGACAGCTGCCCATTTCAGAATTTAATACACTGCATCAACTTCCAACTCTTCATACAGATTCCTGATGACCTCAAAGTCTACTTTTCTTTTCCTATTCTCAGTCCCTGGTTAAGCAATGTCATCATTATAACTAAAGCTTTATTTTTTTAATCCTGGTATCCAGCTGCTCATTAAGACTACTATTATCTCCAATCTTTGCTGCTCTCCTGAGAGTTGTTTTTATTACCGTTATAAAACTAACTTTCCTAAAAAGAAGTGTAACTTTCTGTGCTGTCTCTAAGAAAATAAGCACATTCACAAGTGTCTAAAAGACTAGGTCCCTGGGTCCATAGCCACTGCCTACTTCTCCTGGTATGTCATTATTTACTAATCTGTGTTTCTGGAAACATCAAATTTGATGCTAGAGCAAACCTTAAACAATCCATATTTTTTTTTGTAGAAAAGTTATACACATCATCCTCTTCTGACACTACTGGGGATAACTTTACCTCTGCCAACTGGAAGAGTGCCGACTTCCCACAGTGCTTTACTGGCTCAGGACTTGGCAACTGGGAAGTATTTGATGAGATCTAGGTTACAAATGAACAGAGGAGAAAATATTTCAGTGGCACACAGGAAAAGAGAGAAAGGGAGGGGAAAAGAGAATGGAAAATAAGAGATTAGTCAAACCAGTTAATTTTAGTTCTTTCTGGCAAAAGACCCTACTTCAGACAGGCAACCCCACCCAAGAAACACTTAACAGGTATGTAGAAAACAGGAGAATACAAGCAAATACCACATTCCTTCCTTAGATTATGCTCATGGATACTCGATGTTTGTACTGTCCACAGCTAATATTCTGTCCTGCTCTGTGTTTTATGTCTGTTTTATGTGACCAAGTGAACAAATCATACCTGTTGCTTAAAAATATGCACTATTAGCTGTTAAGGTTAAATAAAACTCTCCCAGAAGATCTGGGCAGTATATCCCATTACTTAGACATAGAAGAGGACCATCTGTCCTCATGGGCAGCTCTTGTTTCACTTTCTTTAGTTATGAAGAAGTAAGACCTATGTCTGGAGATCAAATCTAGCCTTCCAAAGAGTTGTTGGTGTGCCAGCACCTCTGGTAAGTAAATAACTACCAGTACCACTTTAGGGAGTTGCTTTTACAACCAAATTTTTTCAGACCCGCTTTCCAGTACCAGCATGATGAATTCAGAAATGCAAGAATTTTCTGATATGAGATCTTTTTTGGCACGGCATTGCATGGTAGTATTTAGCTTAGAAGCCTTTAGAAGCCTTGGGACAAAATCATCCCTTCCAATTCAAACCATTCTATGGTTCTGTGATCTTCCAGATGCAAAAATTATCATGTTTGCCTTTCTCCTTGTAATTAATTATTTCTTTTGAACTAGGGTATTTGAAGAATTTATTTTCCAATTACCTGTCAAATAATTTATTATTATACTCCCCACTGTATCCTCCTCCACCAAAATCCAGGACATCCATTTCACTTAAAGCTATTTAAAGACAGTGAATAATACTCAAATTGCACTAATAGTAATTTTTTATATTAAACCAAAATATTTTAACATCCTAGTTTTGCTACAGGACAGTTCAGTGAACGTGCTCAGGACCCACTTGATTAAGTGATCTTGTACACTGCACTTCAACTTTTTATCTTTCTATTTTAACAAATGCTCATCTCAATGATTTTTTTTCTTCTGCATAACATGAATGTCAGAAAAAGGACAGAACAACACCCACACACACAGAATTATAACTTGAGAACACACAGGTATAGCTTGCCTTCTGATACAGAAAGTGAGGAAAGAGTAAAGAAATTTTGACAATAGGTGCTCCTAACAAAATGTGAGATCTTTATAGTACTAAAAGAAAGAGTGAACACAGACACTTAATATCAGAAAAAAAAAACAAAACAAAACAAAACAACTCTAAAGAGCCAAGAAAACAAACAGCAAGTGACACAAGCATGTAACTCATTCTGATGAAGTTACTGGCCAAACATCAGAAGGAAAAGAAGGGCTGATCAATCAGCTCTCAGTGAGATTACAGATCCCATTCCCTGTCTTAAGAACATCTCCCAGACTTAAGAATAATCAGAACCTCGAGTACTACAACCACAAAAAGCCCTTTACTTATGTAGAGGTTTAAGTGGAAGACCATGAGGATCAAGTTACAATCTTTTACTACAGTACAGATGGGATTTTAGCTATTATATTACATTTTAGTTTGCAAAAGAAGCATGGAACTACTTTTTCACTTTCCTCCTAGAACAGGCATTTAATTCCAACACAAACATTTAATAATTTCAGTATGTGGGCAAAGAGCAAATACATTTGTCTTTACCTGGGAAGATTACAGCTTTATATATAGGAGAGCTGGAAGAGAAAACACTCACTAGTTTCTGCACTCCAAATTTCAAGGTATTTTGACCAAAAGTTTTAAAGTTTTGGATTCAAACCTCAAGTTCTGCACAGAAATAAACCTTCTCAAAGTGAGTATATGGACAAAGTCATTCTGAGTGATGCTTTTTTCCTTAAATGAAAGTAACATGCTGGGTTAGAAGAAAAAAAAAAATCCACCTTGTTGCATACTGCATGTGTTTGTTTGGTTTTTTTTAATGAAAGCAGAGAAAAAGTTAGAGAAAAAAATTTAGAAAAGCTGCTGAAAGCAAAGAGTTTGGTGGTTGTGGATTTGTTTTATTTTTAAGATGGTTGAACTAGCAATTCTTTTGCCTCCATACCCCAGAAGCCTTTTTTTTTAATAATGAATAAGAGTTTAGGACAGTAAATGCAAGAGGTGCTCATCCTTCCTCTCAAGGAAGCAATCACCACCATCTGTTCACATTTGCCAAACACAGATGCAGTAAGACCAGGGGAGCATTGGGTCCCATCTGCTCTGCATCCCTCTCATGGCGAGGAAGGGGGCAGTGAGCAGGCAGCCTGCAAACAGCCTCTGCCCCAAGGAACACAGCTCAGAAATCACAGCCTCTCCACAAAGGTTCAAACCACCAGGACAAAAGTAGGGCCAACTACTTGCAAGGTCAGAAGCATGAGAAAGCCAAAAGCGTAACTTGATGACAATATGAACTTCAAAAAGCTCTTAGGAGGATGTCACATCATCTTTGAAGACCTCCAAGGCATCTGCCTGTGCACCCACAGGACCCAGTGAAGTCTTGCTCCCAGGATTTTCATCATCTGTTGTGTGTCAAGTCACTGGGCAGGCCTCATTAGGCTTATCCTGAACAGCTTTAATTGGCAACTACAGCACTTGGGCTAGACAACCAGATAAAAGACTAACTGAGGCTGTAAAGACAAAAAAAAATCCCATGCTACTCTACACATAATGAGCTGTTTCTGAGTGACAGGGCACTTGTACTCCTGGGGTAAAGGTGTCTGTTTTAAATGACAAACCTACTCAATGGGATCGCTGTCTTCACAAAGAGGCACTCATACTCACCCTGCTGCAAGGGCTGCCAGGAGAAAGGCAACATATGAGGAACACCCAGCCAGAACCAAAACTGAGCTGGGATGGCTGCCAGAAGTCTCCAGGCACATCAGACCAGAGCACACTTCACATTTCTTCACAGGTCTACTTGGCTACTGGTTAAATAACTATTTTTCTCCTTCTCTTTTTTCTTTTGTAGCACTGTACATTGCTGACAGCAGCCCACTGCAAATTGCTTGCCATAATTTAGTTCACTAAATGCAGTAATGAGTTCATATAGACACGATGCAGTAAGAAGTGGCACAGTAAGGAATAGGACTTTTGCCAGATTTCACAAAGACAGCCTGTGCAAATGAAAGCCCTTATAGCTGAAAGAGCACAAGCAGCTTTAACAGCAGGGGAGAAAGCTTAAAGAGGTTCTGTAACATGCTCAATACTTTCCCTAGGAGCAACCCAAATTAAATCATCAGGCTACAGGCTTAGAAAAAGACCATTTCTCTACTGCTATAGATAAAAAATGATGTTCCATCACTGTCATTAAGGTTTCACAGGAAGAATAACCATGGCTTAGAAGGCGGGTTTTAAAATTTTTTTTTCTCTTCTCCAGATTTCTGTCTCCAATTTCCAGCCACAGAACAAAACCAACCCCTCCACACTGCACACACATTTAAATATTTTTACAAGAAAAAGAGATTAACCCTGACTCTCAAACTGTCCTCAGTAAATCCTAATTAACTTTCTAAGCACCTCTTCTACCTAGGGTTTGAGGATTCATATGCGCACTCCAATGAGCCAAAGGAGCTCACTCAGCATAGTGGAATGCAACTCAGTGCACTGTCACATCCCCATGACAATTTTCAGGTTTGTAATTTTGTTTGTTCAATGAAGAGAGAAAACTTTAGGCTCTGTGAAATTATGCGAGTATGGCTAAGCCAGGTTTTGTGTGATAATTTCAGAATGTTGTACTAAACACAATACATACACTGCTCAACTCTGCAGGTATCCAGAACGACTGAGATTTTTGCAACCGAGTTAGGAGATTCACTTGCAGTATATTATTATTATTATTATTATTATTATTATTATGCAGTATTTTGCAATAAAATTAACAAGAAATGTTCTCTAGTTCGTATCTTTTAACTTGGTTTAAAAGTCTGGCTTCAGCACATAGTTTCATCCTGTTCAAGTCTACTAATTTTCTCAAATGAGTTTTGCGAATTGACTTTTAACTTTTAAAGCTGTGGTACATATGAAAAGATACCTTCAAGATTAGAAATATTAACTCTATTGTGTCTTTTACAGGGGTGTTTGTAGCCAGGTATTTTGCAGCACCTGGATCAGTAAATTGATTTGTCTTCCTTGGCCCTCCTAAGAAAAACACCAAGGCCCATCCAAGCAAAGCTGGAAACACACAGTAGACAATGAACTAAACATTTCACAGAAGGAAGTGTGTGACACACAGAATAACAATCAGGGTATCTTTTAATCCCTTTATGTGCCTCTGCAATAGCACCAGCTCCAATCCCAGCCTTTCCAGACACACACAAAACGCACCTGTGGCTTAAATGATTCTGCAAGCAGTATCAGACTCCCCCAAATGGGCAAAAATAGTATATGTGTGGAAAGTCAGTTTACAGAGGCACATTCAACACATGGGAGGAGAAATTCCTAAAAGCAGCATTTCACAAACTCTGAATCTTCAATATGTGGAGGAAGGAGGAAAGGCTTCCTACTTATGGGAAACTGATAGGCTTGGTAAGTCACCACTTAAGGATGCTGTTAGATATCCTCATATCCTCGTGGCTGTTGTGATAAACCTCCTTTGACCTGCAAGGATTCTCCAAATGATTCCTGCCTCTAGGGCAATCACCATTCTGCCCTGCTGCAGCCTTTTCCACAGGCAGTGCAGTGTCATTTCAGAATGTGTCCTTGCTGTTTTCCTAGATGTAAATTAAAAGGCCATTTGGATAGTAAGTCTGCAGTGACCCTTTGGGTATGGAAGGCTAGGTAATGCTCACAAACCCAGTATCTCCCAGCTGGCAGAACTGGCCAACACCTCATCCAGTCACTGTTATTCACACCAGGGTTTTCTTAACACAATAGTGTCAGGAAGATACACATCTCCTGATGGGAATCTGATAAGACAGGGTGCTCAGCCATTCAGTGACAACTCTCACCGGTTCCTTGCTTCCTCCCATCCTCCCCCAGCACATTCAGCATTGTACCTCAGCAAACTGAAACAATGCAGACTCCTCCGTTTGTTTTACTGCCCCCAGGACTCCAGGCTGTGCCGAGTTGGAAGAGATCTGTCAGGAAAACAATTATGCTTGTATTACCTAACTCTTCAGTTTCAGTATCACACTTCAACATGCTAAATTTATAATCTGTCACAAAAAGATTCCTAGTACTCCAAAGTATGCAAAGGAGTCCCAACACACCCTTAGAACAAACAGTATCTGCTTTCCAGGAAACACATAAACAGGTGATCTCTGAAATGGTAATCTTGAATTATTTTTCAGAAGGAAAATCCTTCCTAGGACCTACAAAATAAGCATTTTTTGAAGGGCTTTCATTAGCCTGCTGATATGTCAAAGAAGGGTTAGCAACAAATACTTTACACTGTATTGTATTTCACAGTTCAGTGGAAGACCTGAGACTGCAGAATGGTGGTGATGACAGAGCACAAATCGCTTCTTAGCACAGAAGGTAAGCATCAACAGAAACACAATGTGTGCAGGTATTTTAAGCTACCAGATCTATCCCACACACTGAGGTAACTGCATTTCATACTGTTTAACTTGTGTCAATTATTTTTGTTGCAAATGACCCCTCTGATTAATGTTAGACTTCACTACAAATATCAATTATTTTGCCACTGACACACATACCTACCATGCACAGGTTAGGTGCACCCTGTCTACAGGATGTTTTAACATCCTTGAAAAATAAGGCTAGCTAATTTGCATTTCTAATTATTGATCATCAGTAGGCTACTTCTAAACCATTTGTTTTAGCAGTGCAGGTGAGCTTGTTTCCTGGCACCCACTAAAAATTTTCTTCAATGGGAAAGCAAAAGCCAGAGGTCAGAAACCCATAGCAAGGGCATATCTGGCAGCACACAATTCCTGCCTACTACCACATGCATCTGGCACTTCCCTCCTTCAGCACTGTAAAATGAACTGAAACAATGAGGTGAACTGGTATTTGTCTTACTCTTTAAAAGATTCAGCAGTGAAATTCAATATAAGTCATTGCTCTACTGACAGTATAAGCACACAGAAGCATCTCAGAAATACTGGAAGATGGATGTTGAATCATTACCACAGAAGTGTCATAAGTGATACAGGAATTAACCAATTTTAAGAAGCATCTAAGTATTGCTTTTCATTGCTGGCACACCAGGCATTTCCTTTTCCTAACAAGAAAAGCCAGCAGGCTGTTCAAGAGCTTAATTACAGGTTATCTACTTCACTCTGGTCATTATCTTTAATCAGAAATAAAGGATCAGTGCTCCAATTTATTTCTAATACATTCGAAAGACTCAGATCTTAAGCTGGAATTCAAGGCCTTGTGCACTGATGTTAAAATATCCAACAGAAAAAGAAGTCCTATTTCTTGTGTGCTAGGATTGCAGTGTATCTGCTCCTGAAGTGATGATTTTTTAGGGAGGAGTAAGAAGGTGCACAAGGCAATAGGTAATAAAGACACATAAGTCAGATTCACAGCTGATGTGAATACAGGTAATAAAAAGCCCTCACTGTGACAAAATTTCTTCCCATATACACTTAATTAAAAGCTACCCAGTGTCTTGGAAAATCAGTACATATACAACTAAGTATTTCTGTGTCATCTATTATGACTATTTCAAGAAATAAGTGATGCTTGCAGAGGGCTAGAGTTCCTTGCAATCTCATTTTTGTCATGTTATATCTATGAAACCCACTAAGATTTGGATGAAACTCTTTCTTCAAAGAACAACAACACACACACCACTTCTAGCAATAATTGGAGTATGTTGACAAAAATATTGTATGCTGCAAAATTAAAGAGCACTTGCATAAAGCTGTTTGGTGGTTCTAGAAGAAAATTTTGGAAATTTAAGAACTAGAATGATTTCTGATGGAGCTAGTGACTAAAGTAGCCACACTAGATTAGAAACATCCAAATACACGTTAAAACCTTAGTTAATAAGGCTCCAGTTAAAACTAAGTGCAGGAATGACATATCTCCAAATTACAGCTTAAACCACAGCTCCATTATTGCACTTGGGTTTCCACCAGGGTCCTGAACACTCTCTTGCACTTCAAGTCTTACCAACTTGATAAATGATTCAACAGCATAAACCCAAAAATGAGGGAACAAATAAAAGCATCAATTTTAGTTAAAGACATTTGATGTTTCTTTCAGCTGGGCATCAGATGCTTCTTAAAAGGATACATTTAGAAAAAAAACCCCTTTTTAAAGAAACTCACCTCTGCAAACTGAAACAATGATGATTTCTGACAGGCTTCTGTAGAATTAGATGTATCAGACTGGCAACTACTGGAGGAAACCTGAAAAAAGGAGAGTGCAGGGTAAGACCTCAAAGGTGCTTCCCTCAAGCTAAAAACAATAGTGAGCAAAATAAACCATTTAAGAGAAGGAGGACAAGCTAATGTTTCACAGTCCTGAAAAGAGTAAATCATATTTACAGATGAAAACATTGTTTAGCACCCATTTTAATGTATTTGAAAACGTCTTAGAAAAAAAGAGCAGAAAAATACCAGACTTTTCTTCTCCTTTTATGATTCTGAACTTGTCAGAATAGTTTCATACAATAGAATACTTAATAGATTATACTAGACTACACACATAACTATCTTGTATTGGTGATGCTATCAACACTGCTATATCTGTAATTTGTCCTATAATTCTGAGTAAGATTACATAGAAGGTAAAAGAATATTGTGAAGACACAGTTGACGACAGGAATACTAATTAGAAAAATAATCTCCAATCATAACAGCATGAAAATATGTAGGTAAGGGTAGCACAAGCCTAATTTCTCAAATCATGTACCTAAACATACATTTTAGGGGTGCTTTTGAGAAGCAGTGCAAGAAAGTCATTATAACTGAAAACAAAATACAAAGAAATGACTGTTCAAAACTAAAAGCCTTATTTGAATTAACACAGATCTTAGCCATTGTGTTCTTGTTAGCTAGAAATGTGTTAATCAAGCATTATTCTGTAAAGGAATGCTATCAAATATGATTCATTAAGTGTCACACTTGAGTGTAAAAGATGTACATGTGTGACTCCTAGGAGAATGAAGTACTGTTAGTATAAAATAAGGTATGTAATATGGCTTTCAAGAAACAGAAAAAAAAGGAAGGAGGCTTTGTAAGATTTTATAAAAAGTAACAGGATGGAAATTTTTTCCCTAACTTTTTTTCCCCCACCTCAAAATTTCAGTTTACTTAACTTCAAATATAAATGTGGGCCTTTTTCTTATTCATTACCTAAACGAGTAAATCAACATCTTTCATTGGTGAAAGCACGTGAGATTTAGCTACGACTGCACCTGTTGTTAGTGAGCACAAAGCCCCACAGCATGTGTTTGTGTGAGATCCTGGAGCACTGCAATAGCAACAGCAGCATTTCCTTTCAGGAATCTGCTACCCACGCTCCCCTGCAAACACTAAATCCAAGTGGAGCAACCCGGAGGACAAGGGGAAATTAATTCACCAACGTGACAATTTGCTTACACATACAAACAAACCTGTTTCTTCCCTGCCATAAAACTGAGCAGCAACAGTGACTCCTGTGATCTGTATTTCCACTGGACTTATTAAACACTGAGCACGATGTTTTATCAGTGTACAGCAACCCAAAGGGTCACAAAGAATGTATTTTTAATGTCCATCTTCTGCCTTTTTAGTAGGTTGTGCTACTGATTTCACTGATGTAATGTTTATTATTGATTTTTACCATGTTTCTGTACAGTCTATTTAAGATGCCTGTGCCTCAACAGTATTACCACCAGAAAAGTATCTGGCTGCTTTTGAGAAACCCATCTCTGAATGTCTGTGACTCTGCAGAGGTGCAAATATGTAAGCTCGCTGCTTGCATGTCTGAGCACTCATTTGGTTATTTTAGGCCACTGCCCTGGTGGAATTTTTAAAGGAATAACCAAATTTTGGACTTGTTTCCTGTATTTTCTGCAGTTCAACCAGCTGCCTTGTATGGCTTAGCTCTGAGCTTGGAGCCACTGAGCCGTGGAGCACAGCAGCACTGTGCTGGAGTGGCAGTGCCCATCCAAGAGGGGCTATCCTGGCTCAGCCCTGTTGGGAAGGATGGACAAATATAATTATTCACAAATAATACAGCCAGGATGAGAACAGTCCTCCCTGCTAGCTGGACAATGCCCCTGCCTACGGATGGGTCCAGGGGTCAAGTGGACTGTTCCATCTCACCCCCAAAATGTACAGGTCATCCTGCACCTGTAACCCTCCCCTAAAACATCAAGTGTCTGTAACCCCATTGGCCCAAGCCCACCTTGAAGCCCCCTAATAAGGGGCTCCGAGGGGCCGGACGCTCTCTTGGAACTTCCTCTCCTCTTGGAACTTCCCCTTCTCATGGAACTTCCCCCTGATAGGACATCCACCCTCTCCTAGAGCATCCTCTTGTCTTTCCCCTCCCCATCCTCTCAAGCCTCACCACGTGCTGCATCTGGCAGCTCCAAGCAAGACCTTTCTCCATCCCTAATAAACCTGATATCCCAAGAGCAGCCCTCAGAGATCTCTCGTCTCCATTCATCCAAACCATCCTGGAGCCCAGCGCTCCCTACAAATCCCCACAACACAGGTGCTGTCAGACACTCAGGATGAGCCTTCTCTCTGCCTCCCAGGCCACGTGCTGGGGGCTGGGCACAGCTTGCACACCTGGTGCTACCAGAACCACTTGCTGTGGGAGGTGTGAAGCCCAGTTTTCTATGGTTTCGTGTGTGGAGGACAGATTGCTGATGCTCAGGAACTCAGTGAGGTTTTGTGGTTGGAACCACTATGCTTTTCCTATCAATTCCTGCTACTCTTTATAAAGTTAATGCTTTTAAAGTTGCCTTTACTTGGCAGAGCACTAATTACAGCTTGTTTCTTCTACTCTGCAGCTCCCCAAACATTTTTGACCTGTGGGAAACTTATTATCTCCACAACTTCTACCTGTGGGAGTCCAGGGCATCTCTCTGGCTGCCCTGGCAGGTCTGGGACCCTGGCAGGGGTCAGGAACCCCCCTGGACAGAGCCCCAGAGACACTGGCTGTGATCTCTGCCCATGGAAAAGAGTTTTCAGTCTTACAGCATGAACTACCAGCTCTGAGTGTTTGATATGAGTAATAATTAAGTGTGGCACGGGTGCAAAAGTAAAATTTTAGGATTCTAGATAAGGGGTCCAAAGGGGACAAGATGGAGGAAATTGGGTGTGTCTTGTCCTTTTTCTCCTTCTTCATGCCCTCCATGTCTCACTGTGGTGTTGGCATTTTCCTGTTGGTTCAGGCTGGGGACACACTGTCCAACGTAGGTGACAGATATTGGCACGTTCTTGTAAATCCAGCCCAGGGAGTTTCTGGTATTTAATGTTTGTCACATCCCACTGAGGGCAGAGCCCCACACGCTGCCCTGCAGGACAGAGCTGGGCAGGGCAGCAGAACATGTGAGAGATCAACAGAATAAACAACCTGGAAACCAGCACAGACCAATTATGGCTTCTGCTTTGGCAGCGGGGCTGACAGACAGAGACTTTTACAATCTCAGAATCATCAATATCACAGATTCCAACATCTACCATTTGCCAGATTGAACACCTGATCAAAGCATTAAAATAATTACAGATCCACAGATAGAGCCATTTTGTACATCTCATTTCCCACTCTTATAAAATGTCCTCAACATCCCATTTCTTCTCCTGTTTCTTCTTCTAAGCCTTTCCTCGAGCTGCACGGAGAGATTTTTTCACTTCTCATTCACCCTTGGCACAGACCCTGCATCCCATGCAAGACAGCCTTTTGCTCTCAGAAAGAAGGAAAGCACAGGCTTTCCTTTCCCTGCAGGTTACCATAAAAACCATCGCACCCAACGAGGCTGGAGGAGATCTGTCAGGCTGAGAGTTGGAGGCCGCTCCGGATTTTGGGAATTTTGGGCAGTAAGCTACAGAGACTCCACTAGGTGCTGCTGTAAGGCAAGGAAAGAGGCAGATGGAGGAGATGTGCAGGGAGGCTGACAGGCAAGCGCTGCTCAGCCGGCTCCAGCCTGGCCGACAGGGACCTGCAGTGGTCCCGGCTGGGCCTGGGGCAAGCACAGCACAGGAGATGATCCGCCCAGCATCCCTGCTCAGGTGTTCAGTAAAATATGCTCCTACCCCACTGGCTTGTGTAATTGATGAAAGCATCCAAAATGCAGGCAGAAGCTCGCTGCATATCCACGTCCTTTGCTGACTACCTGTAAGGTCTGCAGCTTCTCTGGCTTACCTGCTTAGTTACTCCAGCTGCTGCCTGGAAATCAATCACCTACCAACACAGAATTCTGTATTCTCTTATCTCTCTAGTCTGTCACAAAAATTTGCCAAACTGGGAACATACTGGCAAACACACAGAGATTGCAACTGAATTGCAAAACAATTTTGTAAAGATCACTGTTGTGCCTCATCCCATCCTCCTGCTGGCTGGTCACTTGGTCACTTGACATCTGGGCTTCTGACAACTTGAAGATTAAACACCTCACTTGAAAAAACCCTATCCCTTCACTTGGCAGAACATCAGCAGGTGTCAAACACCTTCCATTGCATTAGCAGACTTCTAGGTACAATATCCTTCATCCTCTCTCAAGTGCTGAGCAAAACTGCGGCAGTGCTGCCTCCCCTCCGTTCACAACTTTAAAACTGTAGGAGTTTGTAAGACCTATGCTTCCAGGGCCACCAAAGGTTGCACAATCATACATATGCACAGCAGTCAATACACATGTTGACAGCTAATCCTGTGTCTGGCAGATCCCCATTTTAAAAACCATATATGTGTACACATATCTTTTTTAAGAACCATGTATGTGTACATGTATCTTAAGTGTATACACACACTTTCATGATAATTTATACTACGTTTTAATTTAGAGCATTCTTTAAACTATGACACTGTGTCTGTCCTTTCTTAAAATTAGAAATGCCAATGCTTTACAGATGTGTATTTATGAGCATATAAAAACAATACCTACGTGCTCCATAATAAAGCAACCTCTGAACCTCTTGCACTAACCATACCTCTGTAGTCACATTAGCACAACATATTCTCTCCCAAGTGGATTCCAACTCTAATACAACACAACTGACTCCTCCTCTCCACTGAAGAGCAAAGCAGCTTCCCAGCTCTACAATGAATTCTCAAGCTGCTTTCTGAGTATGCCATACTACCTCCTAGAGCATGTTCTGCTAAACTCCCAAATGCTGGTTGAAGTTCAAGATCATAAGCATGGAAATCCAACTAAATCCAACCATTGATTCTCCCAAAGGCACATGAAGATGCCCATCTTTCATCTCCTCTGTCTACATGCTTGAGGGTGGGAACACAGAAGAGCTGCTCATTTATTCAAGTCTAAACAGATTTAGGATCATTATTGCATTTGAGAAACACATGCCTAAGAAATATTTGCCCTGTATCTATTACAGAATCACAGAATAATGAGGTTGGAAGAGACCTCTAAGATCAGAGTCCAACCTATGCCCTGACACCACAATTAGACTATAGCACCAAGTGCCAAATCCAGTCTTTTTTTAAGCATATCCAGAGATGGTGATTCCACCACCTCCCTAGGAAGACAATTCCAGTATTTTATTATTCTTTCAGTGAAATTTTTTTTCCTAATATCCAACCTAAACCTTCCCTGATGTAGCTTGAGACCAGAGAAACATAAGAAAATAAAGGAAAATAAAGTAAAAATGGAAGACACACCAAGGTTGCCACACAAAAAACTGAGAAAGTCTCGCAGCACCTGGACACACAGCTGGAGATTTAACTCCTGCAAACACACAATGAGGAGGACTTTATTCATTTGGGTCTCTTTAAGAATACCAATCACCCCAATTGATCTGGAGGAGGCATTTTATAAAAGGAACCCTCAAAAAGAATCAGAGATCTACAGTTCCCTGGGAGAGTGCTCTGTCCCTTAAACACTTGTCAGATAGGGTCGGACAATTAAAATATAGTAACTCATTAGTAACTATGGGCTTAATTATGGCCCATCACGACTCTAACAATCCCCCAAACAGTTTTGTCTAGGCTGTATCTATGACAATTATTTTGCTCTATTTTTTTTGGGAAAGCAGATTACACAGCTTGCTTCTTTGATGTAGAGGGCCAGGTTTCAAAAGAAGACTACAGGCCCAGAAGAGTAGAGCGTAGTTTATAGATAAAGTGAATATTTCATCACAAGTCGTACTGCATGCTTCTATCAGGAAAACCAGGATTTATTAAGGCACATGGGAAGTGTGTCTTTTGCTCAAAATAAGAAAAGTTCTGATTAAAAGAACTTTAATGCACTGAAACAATCATACAATCACACATGCTTCTTGATTTGACTCTAAATCTACATGTGGATTTTATTCCTACACTGACATCTGAAATTATACTACTGAGGCTCTTGTAGAATTAACACACCTCAGCTCTCAAGGTCATAACAAAGACCTTTTTTTAAAGGAATGCAGTATCTGTGACTACAATATACCTTCCCTCACATTTAAGTCTAACAGCATAGTAAAAGCAGCTTCTATGCTCCAAGATGATTACAAGTTTGAGAAGGACAGTATAATTTTAGCACAAAATAATGTATTTCTTCTCACTTCTTTGTCAACTTGGCTTGAATGTTCCTTATTTTTCACAGAAGGACAGTACCCACACAGCACAAAACTTCCATGGCTAAAACTGGTGTGCAAAGCATTGAGCAGTCCTGGCAGTACAGGAGCAATAAATCTCAAATGAACTACACATATAGATTAAGTTAATTATTACTCTTTCTCCCAATAGAACAAACTACAACAAAAGAGAGCTCTTTCCTAGAGCTAGAGATTTATGGCAGTGACTACTTACTATACCACCTTTTGAACAATTTTCAAAGTTGGCTTAAAAACCAGATGATATTAATAATCAGTCTAAAGAAAGATCAGAGATCTCTGCACTACTGGAGATATGCAGAAACTTAATAGACTCCTTTGTAAAAATGTAAAAACATGTTTGTGATGGCAACTGAACTACAAACTTCTTTTTAGACATAAGGATTTAGTTGAATAGGAGCAGACTGCAATACTTCAATTACCTGTTAGCACTTTCAGGGTTTCAGAATGTATATATAATGATGCTGACTTTGTAGGAAATTATTTGCTTATTTATCTGTTAGTGTCAAGGCCACAGCTGTTTCAGGCATTGCACAAGCATATAGAATCCTTGCCCAGAAAAGCCTGCAAACCACCTGTTTGTTAACACAACCCTTTCACCTGTGACAATATCTCTTCATAGGGCAGGCTTGACTTGTGCTCAGCAGAGTTAATACTGAACTGTGCTCAACCTACATTCATAGCTGGGATACAAGACACACATTTCATTCTCAGCTGAGATTACCTCAGATGTGTCCTAACTTTTATTCCCAACTGGTCAAATATTCCTCTTACAAGCTCCTTAAACTGAGAGCTCATGTAAGGGAGAGAAGAGAGTTCCTTACCTCGTGTGCAGTAAGTGCATGTTCACCTGCTAGAAGCAGCATACTCAGGCCTCCCATTTGTGTAGGATCTGTTAAAAGAGTAAAATGAAGTCTTAAGTTGATTCATTTGCTTGTTTAAAAAACCTACCACTTGCACCACTAAAGCCCCAGAAGACTATTTGTCACAGACACTCTCAGCAAGCTGCCATAAAAGGCAGTTCAAGAGAATCACAAATAACCATTTCTGTACCCTCTGGGAAGGCTTTCAAAGCTGTTTGAAGGATTTAATTGGATTTGTGTGCTTAACACCCCATTGCATGGATTTACAATTCTACTGCCAAAGGTTTTATGTACTACAGAGATGAATATCTTTAAAACAGCAACTGTAATGACCTCACATATAAATATATACAAAGATGCTCTGATGATGCACAGGTTTGTAAGTCAGTGGATGCTCCTACCAAGGGAGTAGTTCCTCCCTTGGTGACTGAACAAATAAAAGGATGGAACAAAACATGATGGAGCTCTGAAGCAAAATTTCTGTTTTCATTTGTCTGTAATTTAGAGCTGTATTTGGTGGTGAAAAGTGCCAGCCTGACAGCTCTGAAGCACGAAGCCAGAACAGCACAAGCACTGGCCAGGCAAGCTGCCTGCCTACTTGTTGCTCTGCCAATACAATACATAATTGAGGAATGTGAAATGGAGATATAAATGTTCTTTCTCCAAGTATTTGATACTGACAGCTTTTCCCCTCTAGCCTTCCTGCACCTCAGGAGCTCAGAAAATGAATAAACTCTGACACTGCATTACTCATGGAGTAGCTTTTCCACTCAGAACAGTGGTTGCTCTTCATCACTGTGAAGAATAATTGTCTGATTTTGGGAGAATGCCTTGGGAGCAGTGCAGGTGCCTGATTTAACACTGTCATGTAGAGACAGGGAGACAGACAGCAGCCAAATGTCTCACACAACAGCCACAAAGCGAGTGGAATTTTTTTATGTTTTCAGCTAACACAGGCCAAGCCTGTACCTGTAAACCTCCAGACAGTTTAGGGCTACAGATGATCACAGTCCAATTAATGGGAATACTCATCAGTGCTGTTTAATTCAATACCACAGATGCTGCCCAAAGTTTTCCTGCATACAGCATCTCTCACTGACATTCTCAAGGCAAATTTTTCCAATAGTCTTTTAGAAGGGCATTAAATAGAAAAAGAGGAAAACAATGTAAATAAACTAGGCTCATCCACTACCCCATGGATAGAAGAGTGGCATATTATTAAATAGTACTAAACAGGCATCCAAAATAGCACCTAGCTTCAAACCCAATATTCAACTGAATTAACTTCTTCCTTCCCTATAATAAACACATAGAACACAAGTGTTTTGGAGGTTTTAATTTTTTTGAAAAAATTTGCCTTTTTAAATAAAAAAGGAAAAAAAAATCACACCTCTATGAAGAGAGAAGACACAGAAGTATAGGATCTAGTAACAGGAAGAGACACAGAAAATGTGAAGCCAGTAAGTATCTAAACACAATTCATAAGTGAATGCTGTCAGCAACAGCACTTTTTGCCATCCAAGCAGTTGATCAAAAACCATTCAGTCCTTCAAACCAGAGGACATCAGAGCAATTAGGAAGTGAAAAGTGAACACATATCTTGAAAGATAATGCCTGAGCAGGCAGCTGACCTGGAGGAAGGAGCGACTGGGAGAGATCTCCAGGCCCTCCATACCCATATTAAACTGTAAGGCCTTGGCTGGTTGCTTTCTACTTTCTTTGCTCCCTTTGGAAGATTTTTGCAGGATTCAAATCTTCTAAGCATTAAGGGCTTTCTTCCAGGTTTTAGTTTAAATATACTCAGGGCCAGATAGCACATGTTTTTCTGGTACTCGCACCTCTAAGATTAGTAACTGTTTCTCTAAATGGCATCTCCCTTTTCAGCATTTACAGGACTTTTCCTACTCTTCTTCCACTTATTTTCTTGGTCTAAACAATTCAAGATCCCCCAATGTCATTGAGCACATTCATCTGCCATCATTTCAGCAATTCCTACAGCTCTCCTCTGCAGTTATCCCAGGTGCAGTTCATCCCTCTTCTATATGGATGACCAGCAATGCAACCACATCAGATGAGGGTCCTGAAAACACTCTGCCTGACAAACTGCAGTATAGCACTTTCCCATGCCTGAATCACCCTGGTGACTCCCAGCTGCTCTTCTGTGCTTTATTTTCATTACCTGTTGGTCCTTTTCCCCATCCCCAGCTTTGGCCATCTCAAGAACACCCAGTTTAAGACTGTAAAATTCTTGCCTGTATTCTAAATATCTTCTTGGTAGTTTTGGCTTTCTGCCTTTCAATTAAGTAGATTATCATAAAAGAACAAAGATAGAAGTGTGGTTTAGTGTTTTTCTTCCCAGGTAAGCAAATAAACTGTTTATTTAAATATAAAAATTAGGAGGAAGGAAAAAATGACAGCTGAATTGGAAATAAAAGTTTAATGTGATGCTTAAACAACTTCAACTTATGCTGCAGCTGTAGCAGAGGGTTGGTGCTTAGATTGCTGCTCACGAGAAAAACAGAAATCCTTCTATTAAAGTTTCCAATTACAAAATAACTTCACCTAAGGGAAGACAAAATGTACATATCCAAACACTGCCATATGCTTACAGTGCCTTCTCAGCACAATAATATTTATCTTCTGGCACTAGGAACTTACTGGTATGAAGAAGAATTTTAAGGGGTATTTTACAGAATTTATTCTTAAATCAACAGTAGTGGGAAAATAGCACACACATTTGACTTGCAGAATGGCAGGCAATTCGTGACTTTCTCAACAGCTTTTAATATTGATGAAACTTAAAACCATCTCTGTTTGGGAATGACATACTTTGTTAGTACTGGGCTGGTTACAGACTCAGCAGGCTGGCTTGTTCATCATAGCCATTTCTGTCAGAGGAAACAACAAACTGAGGAAGTAGGAAGAAGGCCAGCAGGAACCAGCTTCAACCAACTTTTACCTGTGCATAATTCACCTTCTTTCTAAAAAGCAAACTGTGTTTCTATAGGGATATAGCCTACTCCAAAAGTGTCTTTCTTCCAGCCTTTGCCTCACTAAAAAGCATTTTGGCATGGATGGTTTTCTTCTGAAACAAAAATATGCAAGCACTGAGAATCTTACATATTTATATAGCAAAGCTTTTGCAAACAGCAGTGTTCTTTGCCCTACACCCTACAAAGGTGAGCCATATAATGAGAAAAACGTGCTCAATTACAGCCCACAGGCTGGATGATCAAGGACACCACTAGTGGGTCTGCAGGTCAGAAGCCCAATGCTGGTGCCACACCTCAGCTTCTTGACATAATGGCAGGTCAGCATAACAGACTTATATGTGGCATAGTTATTCTTGTAAAGCCAAAAAAACACAGAAACAGCCCGCGTGGGACTTTGAAAAATGAAGTAAGAGCTTACTCTCTACATATTAGATTTTCCAAAGTAAAATGTAATACACAAAAAGCAATCAAGACATGATTAGCAATGACCAACAAATGAAAGATTTCCTAGCATGATTCTAGACTCATATAAACCCTATCCTGAGGAGGTTTCCTGCCTTGAAGATACAAGTGAATCAGTGGCATTTCAAAGGTAAAAGGTTTTGAGGTGCTTCAGCTACATTTCAGATCATCAGCTAGCACACAGACTGGATTTTAAAGAGATTGTACTGGGTAGGAGAGTGAGAGTTGAATTGAACTATCATGTGAAGTCAAGCAGAGAGGAGCACAATAAATGTATTTAGCAAGAACTGGTATATAGTTGACAAAGCAGTAATCCATTTGGCAGGGCACTTGTCATCATGTGGATGCTGCTAACATCTCTGTCAGAAGCTGTCTTTATTTTCTAAGGTATTCTTATACCCAGATATTGCCAAGCTTCACTGGCATCAGGACTGGATCAAGATCTTTATGAATCACTATGCTCACTGACTCAGTCTGCAGGAAAAATAACCCCAAACTAACACAGGTAGCACTAAAGGACTTTCTTCAGATATGAATGGCTCTATAGATAGAACAATGGATTAGTTTCTAATTAATTCTTAATTTCTCTGTCCCCTATTCCGACAGATGTTGATTCAAGACCTCTGTGCTCAAAAGCTTGACATTAGGATAGCCTAGCAGGAGCACTGGGGGATGGATGAGAGGTAGATTAAGGCTTGTTAATGGTTCTTTGTGTTAAGCCAACAAATATTTAAGGAGCATAGAAATGACTCCTCTAAAAGGAAAAGCAGAATGGTCTGAAGGGGCTTGTGATTTCTGGAAATGCTGTCCCATATACAAGAACTATGAAACATGAAACACTTTTATTTTGATCACATTTCACTGTTCCTTAAGAGCCAGAAGAAATTTCATTATAGGAATTTTCATACCACTATATTAAGGCAAACATGCCTCTTTAACCATTTTCATTCTTTTACCCTTGTTCCATGAAACCATTTTCTACTCTCCAGCTCACAATCTTAAGCAGAGAAGTCCTATCTGCTGCACACCTGTCATAAGCCAGGTAGGATATGACAAAGTTTCTAATTTTGTAACTACTGATGCATCTGAAACTTTAAACAAGAAAAAAAACCAAACAAAAAAACCCAAACCAAAACAAACAAACAAAAAACCCAAATAAAAGCCCCCCAAAACACACACACACATAAAAAAAACAAACAAAACAACAACAACAACAAAAAAAAAAACCCAAAAAACACCCATGGAAATCAAAAGGCAGGGATGTTTTTTTTCCCTTGACTGGTAGGTTCTCAAGCTGCCAGTATTTAACATTAATGTCCCTGTATTTCAAGGTCATGATTACAACAGTTCTGCTATTTATGGATAGCAACAAGAGATTATCTACTTTTCACCAGCTCAGGCACACCACCTATACTTAGTCACTTTTTCTTTTTTTTTCCCCAAATGTTTAGAAGTTTAAAATTTGCTCCTCCAAGATACACTGGGCAAAAGAGCACATTTAAGTGAAATGAAATTATTCTTCTCTTGATGAAAATACAGAAGTGTTAGCCCTACTGGCACATTTATTCTACAAGATTAGCATATCCAATTTGAGACACCCATAAATTATTTTTGCAAATAATAAATTACTTGAAAGAGTAATTCTATGACAGAGAAATAGAACACACACAATCAGCACTTTCCTTTTACACCAGAGAATGGAAGTCTCTAACAGCAGATAAGCTGGAATCAAAAAATCAATCAAATCTGGGCCCTACAGGGGGTAAGAGTTAGGATGCCTCATGTCTGGAATTGACTCTTGAAAATGAATAATGCACTATGGAAAATTTTAGAAAACTGTTACACAGAGGTTTAATTACAGTTTTGGCAACTTAATCTGGGACACTATAGTACCATGTGTAGTAAAGAAAACAGGTATTCCAATTCAGTTTCAATATCACATCCCCAGAGCTACAGCTGAGTACCACGGATGGAAATCTCACCTGCCATCCCAAAGTTAAGTTGTGGCATTTCTTCACTTTTGGTTACTTTCCTTGGGCTTGGTAAGTCTTTTGCAGAGTCTGATGCAATAGCCCATAGCTTTTTCCTGTTTGTAACACTGGATGCCTGGGTTTTCACAGGTTTGTTGGTTGTGGGGCACCACTTGTACCCTGGGTTTGCTTTCATAAATGCATCCTTGTACTAGAAAAGAAAACAGAAATTATCAATCATGACATCATTCTCTACACAGGGCAAACAGAGCACACTGCATGTTAAGAGGATTTAATACAGTAACCACTCCTTAAATATCTTGATTTTTGTAACAGTTTAATAACATGCTTAGAGTCCAAACACCAACACAATATGCTAAGAAGAAGCATTAAGATAAGGAGATGTGTATATAAAAAGTGGGTTTTCTCTTTCCTCTCCTGAGGGTCTATTACCTAGAGCAGCCTGAAGTTCTGATCCTGCAAACTGCTCCCCAGTGCTTGTATGCTCACGCTCTGAGAAAAAGATACTTGAAATCTTTGCAGGTTTACTTTCTAGTTTGAATTAAATACAAACACTCATTTAACAATAAATGCAGCATAATGCCTTAACTCGTGCTCATTCTTCTCTATTTTAGAATATTTGAGTACATACTTTCCTAAACCAGGCACCAAAAACGAATTGCAACCAGGATAATGTCATATTCAGTATCTTGTGATAACATCATCCCAGTGTTCCTTCCAACATGTACCATGCTGTATGACTGCATAAAACAGTGACCATTTAAAACATTCTTTGGCCTTGAGCAGCCAGCACACATCTCAGTTGTTTGCTGTGTTTTTGGTATGAGGCAGCAAAACCACAAAAAGGAAACCAAACCACACATGGGCAGTGGGGGAAAGGGTCTGGATCCGTTTGGGGGGTAGGGGAAAGGACCAGGATCTATTTTATTCACAAAACAAAACACCTACATCTTCCAAGAATTTTACTGCCCACATTAAACCAAGATTTTTGAACGTTAACAAAAGAAAGACCACATTTCAGTATTTTACACGTGTTGCTATGCGAGGTTGAGAACTGGCAAATCAGAGGAACATGCCACACATTCCAGCTGCAGATGTTTGCCTAACAACTGATAGGGGTGTGCAGCACTTGCTGCTGTGGGAGCCTGCCCAGCCAGTACCAGTGCTCGGGGCAGGGAGAAGGAACCTCTCAGGGACAGCACACCACCAAAAGAGTGGCTTTGTGCTTGGAAGCACATGGCAGGGCAGATGCAGAAGTTTCTTCTCTGATTACACAGTCCCACTCATGGCACAGAGAAGCACCTGTGTTTCACACACATGCATGCACAGAAACATTGAGAGGAAAACAACATCCCTTGGGCATCAAATACAGAAATAGCACTGAAAGCTTGTCCTCTGCTAGAGCCACTACAGTGTTTTCCCAGCTCAAGAGTCTGCTTGTGGCAGGGTCACCACTGCACATGCAGTGCTTTCTTCCTTTTCTGTCTTCACCTTTGAGCTGCCACTTGCTACCTCCAGACCGTAACACAGATAAAAACGTTCTGGTTTACAAGAAACACACAGCGCTGCCTGAACCCTGCTGTGGGAAGCCCTGTATTTATAGAAATGGCTATAAATAATAAAAATCTGCAGGGATCACTGACCCACATACGTGCTGCGTTTTCTGAATAGGGTGTATGTATTAAATCTGCCAAGTACGGACTGCGACACTGCTCACCTCACTCCTTTTCCCTTTCCCTCAGTTTGCTTGGGAGCTCAGTACAGCACAAAAATAGCCTGGTGGAGGGAAGGGATAGGAAGGGGAGGGTAAGGGAAGAGGAGGAAAGGAAATACACGACGAAGCAGCTTTGCCTTCTATTGTTAAAGCCACAGCCCACTCACAAATCATGTTTCCAGCCTGCAGAGTGAAAAGCACAGTCGCTAGCAGTGAGCTACATAAGCTCTTCATATCAGCAATGCTGCTTTGAGTAATTGAATTATTCTATTGAGTAATTTGACAAGCCGACAGGCTGCCCATCAAATGAGAACTAGGATGCGTGCCATTTGTGAGACGAGGCTGCAATGAGCTTTTAATCAGTTTTCAACAAGAGCAATTCAAGTGAGCTGGTATAGTAATGTCTTTTTTTTTTTCTCTGCAAAGCCAAGATGTGAACATTAACTGCAGTTTCTGAAGGCAAGGGAGCAAACTGAGGGAGGACAACTCATTGGAACGGTTCAGTTTCAATACATAAGATAAAAAAAAGAGAAAATTTAAGAACCTAAAACAATATCCAAGAAGGACTTTACATAAATGCCTGTAGGGCCTTGATCCAAATCTTAAAACTTTTTCAGTATTGACTTTTGTGATTACTAGACCAAGGCCTAAAACAGAGATATAGATTTTGCTTACCGGGTCATGAGAAGATAACTTTAATGAGCTACACAGTAACAAGAAAAGGAGTAAGACAATCATGTAATCTATTGCTTTGCTCTCTTTCACCAATTATGCAGTAAAGCAACTTAACACATCCAATCTAAGCATATGTCTAAAATTGATTTTAAAAACCCCAAAACACAGGCAACCAAACCAACCAAAGAAAACCACAAAAACCCAACCCAAACGTAAGTACCTAACCTGGGATGCAAAGACACCACCTTGCTTTCCACAACAAATGGCCCAGCAGAGTCATGTTCTGAAGTTTCAGGTAAGAAATAGAACAAGATGTGTTTGTGGGATTGGTTTGATGCCTTATTTCTGTTTTGTAAAAGCCTGGAGAATGTTGTGTTATGTAGCAGGACCAGCGCCGCTTCAGAACTGAAGTTAAAACTCCCCAAGTTGCTTTCATCACCAAATAAAAAAAGATTTGCTTCCTCTATTTGTGGTAGGAACAGGAGCTCACAAGTGGATTTCAGCTACACCCCAGGCTAGCTGTTAGCACGTGTTTAATTTTAAACGTATGCTATTAAATGTCACATGAATCTCAGAGACCTGTCATTAAAAAAAAACTCCCCAGAAAATAACTGCACTCCGTTTTTCACTCCTGAAGGATGCAGGGTTCTCATTACACACTTTACAGTCCGTAAGTCAGCCAGAGGACTTGCCAAAATGCAAGCTGGTGCATATTTATGAGTGGCCAGATGAATTTCCCTCAGTGAAGGAAAATGCTGAAACATACACCAACACTCCTGGTTCCTTTTTGAGTATGTATCAACAACTGGGCTTATATCCTAGACAGTGGAACTTTCAAATTTAAGCTGGTCTAGGAAGTCTGCAGGGTAGAAATAGAAAGCTTACTAATAAAGTGATGCCAGCAAAAGCAGACATCAAGCTCTGCAGGTGCAGCACCAGGTCTCCAGGGCAGTTGTTGCTACAAGAGACCATAAACCACAAGATGGAAAATAGAAGGAGTGTAGGGCCAGTTTTTCCAGATAATTAAGGTACCCCAAAGTGCAGACAGGTACATTATGGGATTTTACACAATGCCTGAATGAACTAGAGACCTGATGAGCCTCTCAGGGAGTCAGGGACAGATGTCCATCTACTAGGAAAACTACTCATAATTCCAGCCAGCAAAAAGTTTGGGTGCCTCACTATCTTCCAAAATCTTGCATACAGCTAGACATATGTAAGTAAATATACAAGTGCCTTTACATGCATGCTGCTGAGGTAATATCACTGCTAGTAGAAAGCAGGCAAGAAACTGAAAGCTTCTTGCATGGCACATGATCTAGCCCAAATGATTTTGGGAGCTATAGCAATGAGTAATAAAGAAACATTCTAGAGACTGCAGAAGAGCAGGGACCACTTCTGTAAGGCCCACATGTATCTCTGCAGGAGTGGTTTGGATGCTCAGGGTATACTTTGTAGGGAGAGCAGATATGATAGAGGGTTCTCTGGGAGATGTGTGTCCTGCCAGGACACTGGCTACAGGCTGCACAGTGAAATATGGAAGTCAAAGGACACTGAAAAGCTGCATTTAGGTAACAGAAGATTACTCACCGAATCTTAAATCTCAGTGAGTTTATATAGGCACCCAAACAGAAGACCATTGGTACAATGGTATTTTTATCTTCTTTCAAAGACACTCACCTTGATTTTTAAATAATTTCTCTTTAGGGAAAAGGAAAGTTCCAACAGGTGGTTCTCACTACAGTTGACACTGACCTCTTTTTGACAGTCTCAGCAGTAAGCCTCCCTACAGGTGAACCTGTTCAACCTGCTCTACGTGAACCTGCTTAAGCAGTGGGTTGGACAAGATGATCTCCAGAGCCCCCTTCCAACCCCAACCATTCTGTGGTCCTGTGAAAAGCAAGTGTTACAATAAAATGATCGATCCATGCAGACAGAATAGGCTTGTTGGTGAAGGAGGCCCAAATGGATTCAACAGCACATTATAGCTGGTAATTACTGCTGTAACATACACTGTTTAAAGAATAAAAATGATATGCTATCTCTCCTCTAGTTTTCATTCTTAGAACTACTTACAATGACGTAAACGACTTAGATTTATTGTTCTGCTTTGACGCTGAATATTCAATTTCTTCTTCATGCCAAAAAAACAATCACTACAAGAACAATGATTTCTACAACAATATGATTAACAGTTTCAGATCTCTCACTTCATACAGAAGTTCCGCAATTATTTTCCTTCTTAATGAACAAGTTTCCTTCAGCAAGACAAAAGGCTAAGAAAAACAGTCACACTGGGTTTGTTTCTTCCAAAACTTATTTCTTTATTCTCATCTTTCTCTGCATCTGTACTGAATCTTTTAATTGCCCTTTCTCCAGACGTTTATAGAAATATCACTAATTCACAAGCGGGAATGCAGAATGAAACTGGAATGGTTGGACAAAGCTGAGACTTAAATGTTTCAATACTGTGCCACAGATGAGGAACTACAGAGTTTCTACAGACACTGCTTAAAAAAGGACCAACCATGTTAAACACTTTGCTCTTCTTGTGGACCTTTCCATGCTCACATGAGCTTAATAAACAGACAGACCTTACAGCTTGTTAACAGTACTGACATCTTCAGATCCCAGGGCAGGCAGGGTAATAGTTTTCCCAATGATTTCACAGCTATCTGCACTTCCCACAGTGTGCTAGCATACTCAAAAAAGGAGAGAGATGTTTTTCCTGCTCACTGGTGTTCCTTTATTTTTATTACGATTTAATTAAAATTCTGTACCACAATCTGTATCATACAGGTAACCACAGGGATCTGTTTTGGGGTAAGGTTATCAGCCTAAGTAATTTGCTGTGTTTTTCTCACTCTACTATCAATAACCACAGCCTTTCTGAAAACAGCTTATCAAGAAAGCTATTTCTTAAAAAGGCCCATTTGAATTTTAAGTTGACATAAAGACACGTTGTGAAATAGGGGGATAAATCTCCTTTCCTTGCTCCTGGTTAACAGACTCTGATTAGGCACTGCTCTCTGACTTGGTATTGGTCTCACCAAATCTTGCTTCATCAGAAACTGGTTAATGGGAAATGTACTTCAAGAAGCACTAGTAATTTTTTAATTCATTAGCATCAAAGGTAAAAAGGGACTACATTTCTTGACTGTGCCATTGGTTTGGTCCACCATAGCTGGCATCACTGATAGAGAATAAACAGCTAAGTACCCTTAGTCAGCTGACACGGAACAGTATGTTAGTGCTTACAATGGCCACTATCCTCATGTTAATGCTTGTACAGAAGAAATTATCAGGCCATACAATCACAAAGTGCACATAATTATAGCAATGACTACCGGAACCAAGTTAGTTTGTGTACACAGACCAATTGCTTTCCATTATGGTCCAAAGGATCAAGTCAATTAAAGCAAGAACAGCAGCTGCTCTGGGCACCATAATCCCATGGTGAAGCTGAGGAACAGAGGGAAGAGAAAGATCCCACAGAAAACATTTAATACACAGAGAAAAAGAAGACAAATATGTAATGAACTCCCTTTACATCCACCATTCAGACAGAACGTACCTCCTTGGCCATGTCAGTGTATTTCTGTTTTTCTTTTGGATCTAGAACAGACCACCAATCTGCCAAGATCTTGGTTGCGCCACGATTATCGAGGCGAGGGTGCTCTTTCCGCACGAGCGAGCGGTGGCGTTTGCAGAACAAGAGAAACGCGTTCATTGGTCGGCGAGCTCGCTGCTCTGAGGACTCATCGTCTTCAGTCTCATCAGCATCCTGCTCTAAACCATCAGGGCCAAGGAGCGGCACCTGGCAGAACCGAAAGGGAAGGGGGGTAAGCTCAGTTAGCCGCGTTTCGCACAAAGGCTGAGACGGTGTGCGCTGCATGGGACTCGGGGAGAGGCACGTGGGCACACACAGCTGCCTCCAAAGGCCAACCGTTCCATCCAGACAGCCTGCAGAGTTCTACATCAAACCTCCTCACCTGATGGTCCCAGGTTCATTCATCGTCTGCAAGACTTAGCGCTGACTTCCAAGTGGAAAACTTGCTAAGCTCAGGACCATTCTCTACTAATAGTCCTAAAGGGGCTGGAGGAACAAGATCTACTCTCCTTCTGACAATGTAGAAATCATCTTAGTGGGACGAGGCAAGCAGAACTACCTTGGACCTTGATTATTCATGTTTGCAACCGCAGAGCACACAAGGAGGAACAGGTAATAGTTTGCTTGTTTGTCAGTTTTTTACCATCTCCTGCTGGTCACTGCTCACCCTGTGAGCAGCACAGCAGTGCAGCCACAACAAAACTGCCCAGCAGAGGCAGAGGGCAAATCTCAACAGAATACACTGCCAAAATGTGCTCTCTCCATACCATTCCTACAAGGGACGAGCCACAGAACTTACTGCACGAGACAGAAATCCACCTCCTACCTAACTACGATGCTGCTATTTTATACCATGTTGTGAAAGGACCTGTAAGATCAACAGAAAGCACCATCAGAGAATCAGGCTCTTGCTTATCCTTGTCAAAGTCACCCTCTCTTATCAGTGTACAACTCAAGGCAGTCTCCTCAGCACTGACGTTGCCATTGCTGCCTTAGAAAGGCACCAAGGAGATACAGATATGAATGCCATCCACATGATGGAATCATCACATCTGCATGAACACTTCCCACCTCTTGCTACAGAGAATGACTCTAACTGGAAAAGTGTGAGGTGCCACATGGTATTCAAAAAGGGCAAGGTCAGCATTACTGAACAATACCAAAATACCACGTGTCAAACCAGAGAGAATTACTTCCACTGTGCACTCAGTACTCTGGAGGATAAGTTCAATTTCACATGCAAAGATAGTAAAAACTGCAGACAGCTTTTTCCTTCTTTTTCCCTCTTAATCTTTGTAGGTTTCATCTTTAACAAAAAATGAAAACTTTTAGTTTGGTATGATCTTCAAAGCTACTAGAAGCAGATACCAAGCACAAGCCAACGTCACATTTAAAATAAGCAATTAAAAAAAATAGAACATCAAAAACCCACTTTAAGCAATCAAGATTAGGATGTGCAATACATTATTAAAACAAAGCAGATAAAACTATTCCAGTCTACAAAAATTTGTCCACTATTTTAAAGGCATGATTAACAACTCACTTTCTTGTGTCACTACCTGCCTTTACAGCCTTATAGGCACCCCATCGGATCACTTTTTATTGGCTGTGTTTCTTCACAGAAGAGAACAAGACAACACAAAATGAAAAAGACAGCTAGGGAGAATCCAATCCACCATTAACCATCTTGGGTCAAAGCATCCAATTAAATCTACCTTATCAATATCTTCCTCTTCTTCTTCCTCTTCCTCCTCTTCAGAGAAGTCAAGGAGTTTCTTGGCAAGCAGGGGATGCCACTGAAGACACTTCCTTTTTGGTCGCTTCCCAGTTCCTTCACCTTCTGTTGAGTGATCCTTATTCCTACTACTGCCTTTCATTACTGTGACCTGTCATGCAAAAATATTGATAAATTCACAACAAACCCTTAGGTACAAATGACCATCAAACCAGTGGCAAATATATGAGGTACCAATGCAAGACTCTCAGAATTTTCTGTCAAGGTATTAGATAGAGATTTACTCTAATTATCAACATAAGCATGGACGTACTTTTTGCACTCCTAACACTTTCACATAAAGCCTAGAGTAACTAGCAATACACAATTTAAGAGCATGAAGTAAGGATGCCAGCTGATCCAGCTCTCAAATGTCCCTGTCTGAAGAATGGCAGAGAAGTCCTTCAGTAAGCAAGTGCATGAGAGACTCCACGTTTCTTTCATACATATATCCATTGCAGCTTTTCATATTTTGCCACTGCAAATGTCAGTGTCAGGACATCCCTCTCTCTCACAGTGGAACATATCACCAGCCACTTGTGTTAATCATGCACTTATATACACTAATGTTGATACAGAGCCCCAGCCCCATGATACTATGAGCTAGGATTTGTCCAGTGCCATTAAAAGGTGTGATAGGGAAATCTGAGTCCCTAAGAGAAGTGAATTTGAATACACAGATTTGAATCAAACAACCAGAGACAATTATGCTGACATTTCCAAAGTACTGCACAGGAAACAAAAAGCCATGTGCTGAGCCAAGTGCACGCAGAAGACAAATTGTATTTAGTTATGTGTATGTCCTTATCTAAAAAACACCTCAGAACTACCTCTTAATAAAAATACATGCTCAACACATACATAGTATCTGTTTAAGGGTTGACTTAAGAGATGTGCTACCCAACTAAGGGACAAATTAATATATATATATAAAAACAAAACCAGCACATCACATCAAAGTACTGAAGCACACAGCAAGTGCTGCTGGCACCCAGTCTGGTCCCTTGTAGACTTCTGTTAGCATAATGTAATATCAGTGGCAATCCTGACAGGAGCATGGCTAGCTTTCCAAGAAAACAACACAAACATCAAAACAAACTGAACTTAGGAGTGGTTAGCCAGCTACATCTTTATAAAGCCAATAAATGTGATGCAGTCTCACAGGAGTTTCTCACCAGCAGCATAAAGCAACTGCAATAAGCCCTGGTCCCATAGGCAAAGCCAGAAGAAGCTGTGTTGCTGACTCTCAGGAAAAGGGCACAGAAAGAATCAAACCTTGTAACTGCAAGGTCACAGTACATTTTGGGATGCTGCTTTCTGTGAGATGCCTGGTGCAACACTGATGTTTCAGCTTGCAGGGGCACATGAGAAAGCTGCCACACTTACACTCAGACCAGCTGCCCCAGCCACTGTGCCACCTCTGGGCAAATGCCCCACAAGAGCCATCTTGCACAGCTCCAGCCACATTCCTGCATTTAGTGAGCACTACTGCTGGTTTTGGATGATCTCTTCCAGGTATTTCTTGTTGGCTAACTCACTGGCATTTTGGAAATGTGCCCTTGCTGGCACCCAAAAAGTGCATAAGCAGCTGCTTCCCCTGCAGACTTCAAGAGTGCAGAAAGATGAAGGACCATCAGACACTGCTTGCTGGAGGAACAACTCAAGCCTGAAGGAAGGAGGTTCACAAATTTTAACCTACATTTCAAAACAGCATTTTCCTGGATGTATATTGAAGTTTGTAGATCTTCCCCACTTGCCAGCAGTACCTACTGCCCCAAATCATTACAGAAACCCTGTAACTTTGTCCCATTAAGTGACATACTTTGCTATCCAAATAATGCCACTTCTGCCTGGAAAACATTTAAACTTTGATTTCATATCATGCACTCCTCTGTTCATTTTCTGTAGCCAACTCCTTTAGATTATAGGGAGTTTTATGCAGCACATAACCATGCATCATTCCACCTAAATTTTCATCCATGACTTGCAAAACAGATCCAAATACATGAACCGCTTTGTCTTAAAAAAAAAAAAATAAAAAATTAAAGTGTGGAAAGCTAAGCCACAATCCAGTATCATGAACTGTATGTTTGAAATTGTTTTTATCCCACTGTGACTCTGCCATGTACCACACTGCACTGTGCTCTGCATCCATCTCCCTTCCTAAAGTGCTGAACCACCATTTGCTTTTGTTAGGGGCATTCTCGGGCACGAATCAACAAAGCTGAGTTAATGTTCAAACAGGAACCTCAGCTCCCGTGGGCAGCAGAGATTTGTTCAGAGATTGCTAAGTGATACAGATCTGCCTATTACTGCAGTCAATAAAGCATGTGGCCTATTTCTGAGCAGGATAAATACGCTACAGTGCAACAGGGAGAGCTGCTCCAGCCCTCACCACTCACTCGTGTACATGAACTAATCATATGGCTTCTGTCTACAATCAGTCCTAAGTATGATGAGTACTACTAGTAGCCTTCTACCTTGTTAGTGTGAAACTAAATTAACGTTTGAGAAGTTCTCCATCATCCTTCTTTACAAAGCTCAGCTGAAGTCTCAGGGCTATTTCAACAGCAGCACTGCCTTTAGAGCTGGCACCTCTCTGCCTGCTGCCCTTTAAAAAAGATGAACAAGGGAAGACTTCAGAGGATTTAAGTCTCCATCACCCCCTAGACCCTGCCAATGCTCTGTGCAGAGCCGGGCAAGGCAGCACAGAGCCAGGCACCAGTCACCTTGCAAATCCCTAAGGGGCTCTCAGTACCTTACACCTCTTCACCACAGCTGAGCTCACAAATAATTTCTGTTTTCCTTGCATGAAGGCTAGGTATTAAACACTCATCACTGAAATAAATTAATCAAAGCTCATAAGTGTTAAAGTAAAAATGCACACTCTGTCACTATAGGACACGTGAAAGCACAACGTGAGCCACCTGCTATTTGCAAGGTAAAGAAGAAAGTTTATTTTCTGACTCCAACTTTTATACTTTTCCAAAGGTGATATTGGATTGGAGAGTGAATGGACCACCTCTCCAAAGACATTGGACAAACCTCTAGTATATTAAGTTTCTCTACCCCCATGAAGGAATGCAATACAGTATGTTGTTTATATAAATTGTGTAGGAAAGTTTTCTAACAGAATGTAAACTCAGAAGGTTTTAGAAAATCTTAAGAATCAGAGCGACACACACTCAGTTTCAAGAATTCAAGGGACATTCATGAGGTTGTTTTAATAAATTGTGAACCATTGTACAACACAGAGTCAGTCAGATCCTGGCTGTCACACGAACACCATTTACCACAGAAAAACACAGGCACTCTTTCTGCTTCATAAAGAATCTCTGCAATGGTCAACAACAAAACCCCTCCTGATTTTGACCCCACTGATGGCAGGACTGAGACAGACTTCAAACTTTATGTTTATTACATCATAGCCTGGAAATCCCTCACTTCTTAAGTATGTCAAGCTATGGACTCTACCCTCTGTGCCTGCTCTTCTTTCCTCTAAAACAGGAAGTAATTCATAACGAACACATAAAATTATTTCCTTCCCCTTAAGGGTGAGTCGTATCCTATTTTCACATACTTTTGCGTTTCCAAATCCTCTTTCCCCATATTTATTTATTCAGGTCCCTGTAAGTTCTGATCTACATTTCAGAGAGAGTTCAGAGACTTTTCAGAGACTTTATTTTTGGTGCACTTTCTGCTGATGCCCCTCAGTCAAATATAGGCTTGGCATAATGAAAAATGTTCTAATTCTTTATTACATCACGTGACTTTTCCTGTTAAAAATGGATGACAACATAGTGTGGTAAACCTGTTTTCCTTTGGATTGCTTCATCTTTTATTTTACAATGCCCACGCATTAGGATCATTTTTGTCTCCTAATTGCTGATACATACACATACTCACATAATTATGAAAGAAATCTATTAAAAAAATTCAGACAAATGCAAATTACAGCTAACATGGACATGGACATTTTCCTTTTGGCAAGACACAGCAGAATGCCTGTATGATTATGATGAAACGACAATCAAAGTTTTACTGCCATTATTTACTTCTTGAACAGCAAAATATCAATGAAATCCAGTTACCTGACTCTTAGGATTCTATTTATTTATCTGATTTTTTTTTCCCCTTGACACATCGTCAATAACATGTTAGCTGCTTGTTTTACATGAGAGACTGGAAGTTGGCAGCCAGAAGCAAGCAAAAATACCACCTGTTTCTCTTTCAGGGATCCTCAAGTGCTGGCAAGCATCTCTACCTGCATGCTTTTAAAGAAAGAGCTGGAGTTGGACCCTACAAGAACTGTAGCACACATTTAAGCTTGGCAATTGAGAAGTCCACAGAAAGTCACTGAACAAGCCAAATCTTTGAGAGATTTGGGCTTAAAAGTAGAGAGGATACACAATACCTGAAGTGCAAAGTTTGCAATAACTGGAATTGATGAACCAGAACATTAAAAAAAGAATAATTTCTTCTACAGATATCAGTAGAAATATCATGTATCTTTTAAGGCAAATGTAATAGCTTTTAGAAGTTTACAAGAGTAAAAATTATTAAAACCAGGGAAAAAGATTTTACAAGTTACTTCTCAACTTAAGGATGACAAAAATGAAATGACAGCCACTAGGAAGAAAGTAGGAATATTTCAACAAGACAAGACAAAGGCATGGACAGCTTTCCTTAAAATAAGCCACATATGCTTTATAATGTCACTAGAGGATACCTGTCAAGGCTGACATTCATGATCCATTGACAGCAAGATACCTTTAGGGTGACACTCTACTTTTACTTTTAGTGCATATACAGATCAAACATTACAGAAATATTACACCAGTACAAAAAAATTAAGGATTTTCTTTTGTGTGTGTGTGTGTGTGTGTGTGTGTGTGCTGGCTGTCCTACTGGTCCAAGAAACACTAATCAAAGAATCACACTCTTCTTGGATGTCTTATAAATATGTATAGCTAATGGAGCTTCAGAGGAAAAAAAAAATTTCCTTAATTAAAGAGGTGGATGGAGGGAAAGGGGAGAAAATGTTCAGCTTTTTACTGCCTCTGTTTCTATTTCAAATACATAACTGTTTACAAATTTTTGTTTTTTAAAGTG